CAACATACAAGAAAAGCTGGAATAATTGATAATAATGCTAGTGATCAATCTTGTGTGAAAGTCGTTCTGTGTTTGACAATTTCTTTCTCATTCAGTTAATTACCGTTAACATTTCAGTATATTTCTAGACTTATTTTCCTTTTACTAAAAACCCGTTCACATTACCCTAACCATTAACAAAACAGTGAAAATATTTTTTTTTTAATGAAAAAATACGAATCGTTAACTTTTCGGATAAAAGCCGTTCACAAATAAATATTTATTTCAATTTTGTACAAAAAGTCATCTGACACGTTCATTTCGCCTTGTAGTGATCGCATATAACGACAGAAAAAGATATTCTAGACTTACTAGAGAAACTTCTAAATAAACCATAGAGCAGTATAATCATTTTACTATTCAGAAATAAACTTTTGAGCAATTAAATAATCACTGTCGTGCTCTCCCTAGAGAAATGAACATGTCTGATGGCTTTTTGTACAAAATCGAAATAAGAAGGAGTATCAATTTCTTTTACAAGATAGCTTAGCTTCGATCAAAAATTAGAAGTTATGTTTAAGATATGATTATCATATCATTCGACTCATCATTTAAAGACTGAAAAATGTCAGGAACGATAAGATTGTTGATGCCTGAGAGTTTTTTATATCTCATTAGGGAAACTTGCTTGAATTCGGGAAATTAGCATAGATTCATGTAGCTCATTCTCCTCATGTATCACCTTCAATCAGCGAGAGGTTTTTTGGGATCTAATACGAAGCTAGATAAATGGTCCAAAAATCTAACTTCAAGCTAGATCCGAAAAAAAATCTTTTTACTTGAGAGTCTATACCGACTCTGATTTTATTATTCCGCTGACAACGTATTATCCTAGTCGACAAGCGTATCATCTGTAACTATACCGTTCACGGAATATGAAACAGTCAAATATTTTTTTGTGCAAACTCCTCGTGACTGAAATCAGCTTCTAAACGAAACTATAGTCTCAACTATAGTCAGCCTTCGATTATTCAAACAAGGCGTGTGAAACATCTTAAAATGTTAGCAATGTGTTTGTTAATCATTACTCTTTTTTGTTCACTCTATAGTTTTTTTCATTTTTTGTGTTATGTAATATAACACATCGTGAGAGCAGTCAATTATTCTACCTATTAGGTTTTTTTTGTTATTACTGTTTCAATTTACGTTGCAGGTTCTTTTTTGTTTTAACATGCTTGTCTAAATATACTACTACAGAATGATTCTGTACACATATAAATATTTTTTTCATTTTTACATTTAAATCGAGAGTTTCTGAAATTGTTGATAATTATAACATCTTTTCAAATATAGATACATTTTGTCTGATATAATTTAATGAACTTCAATGTTTCAACTAAAAAGCATATGCTTCTACACACTCAACATGATATCTCATGTGACATGATCAATTTGTTAAACAGTAGGGCAGAAGAGAGATTCATACAATTTTCTACAACGTAAAAATAATAAGAGTACCTATTGGCAATAAGTTCAGAAGTTTTTCTTAAACTTTTCTCAACCAACTTTATTTAACTCTTGATAAATGTAAAATCAAGTCTTATTACTGTTTTAACTAATTTTGAGCGTTTAATTTAAAATTTTAGATATTTTAAAAAGGATAAATGATTGTATAATTACCATCTTCGTGCCGATGGACACCTGCAGTCCTAACCTAAAAGATATTTTAAAAGACCACCTGCTGTAGATGAATCATTCTGTGAAACAAATTTTTACCTAGAAAGACAGCGTATATGACAGAAAAATTAGTGCACGTAATAAAATAATAATTTGATAGAAAGTTAAAGACTAGAAGAAGGCAGATGTTCCAAAAAGTAGTATGCATACATTGATCCTTTTTGCCAAAAATTTAGTTAAAGAATCCCCTATTATTTGAAGAAAAATTGAGCAGTACTGCACCATGTCCAAATCTGTCTTGTATTCACTTGTTTTTTCGATCAGAAAGTCGATTACTTAAAAGTTTTACTATAATATGGTGTATATTTGAACATTTAACCATCGATAGCTCTATGTCCTGTAATCAGCTCAAGTTTTTTGTTTATTCGGAGTCTTCATTTCATGTATTTGAAAACATCATGTTTTTGCGTATCTACAATTTAAATAGAAAATAAGAAGTAACTATGTGTAACTATCTAACAAAAATAATTAATAATTATAATTGACAATATAACGGAAAACTATATACAAACAGAGAGTCTAAAATTCAGTAATGCAATAACGATTTCAAAGAAAAGTAAGTGTTATTTTCACTGGTTTAGGCCATTTTGCATTATGGACATTCTTTTTATAGCAAAGGAAGAGTATACCATCTTCATCCGTAAAGCGGATGACATTGTTTGAACTATTTTTCAAATTGTGCTCCATTGAGCAAATGTAATGAACTGGAATGGAGTTTTAACGTGAATCATTCAACTTGAGAAATATAGTTCAAACAAAAAGATAATTAAATGAAGGGCATACATCAAAATTAGCAGTGATGTAGCAAACGTTATGCGCCTCAAGCACTTGAATATCAGTTCACTTTAAAATAATATTATTTTCAATTTTTTTGTATTCCTGACATGTATTTAATTAATAAAACTCGTAAAGCAGACTATTTGATTTTTTATGTGTCTTTAACAGAAAACATATTCTGCATTTTTATTCTTTATCTTGGAAAAAAAAGATTCTCTCTACTAATTGATGTGACGTTATGGCAAACAGTCACGTATTTTCGAGCTTACTTTGAACAAGTTCATCATTTATTTTCTCTTTTTCTCTTTTATCTTAAAAATAACCTTTGTGCCTACGCGTTCATGTTGTTCGATGAAGAATAATCTTTCATTTATCAATTGCTTAAGATCATTTTTTTTCAAATCTAATGGAATTTTTCCTATATCATCCACAGGCAGAAAACTGTAGTTTGAAAACATAATGTTGTCTCTTTGATGTAAACGCCGGAGATCTATTCTTCTGAATATTAAACAAAAAACACCCATGATCTGCGCTTTCTTCTCTATTACAGCGATTGATAACTAAAAGAATAAAAGCACTTTTCCAGTAGTTAACGATTCAGTAAGTACTCCAAGTTGTGCAATCTTATACAGGTAGAAGTTGTTTATTCTTTTCAACAATTGTACTCATAATAAAACACTAGTGGCTTCTGTGTAGAGCTAATTGATTTGTTATGATGTTGACTCACGGAATAGGATTGAATAAGAATGACCTATTTCCTGCTGATATAGTTAATATTAGTTTTTTTAAAAAATACCTAATCGAACGAGAAAAATGATAAAAACAGACATTTCATGTGTGTTTTCATACACTAAAGCTTTTAAAAATAATTCAAGTTGACGAATTCCATATATGATACTACATGATCCTGTAAGACTCCATAGAATCAGACAGGATTCTGTAGAAAATCGTTGTGTCGAAAACTATGTAGGATTTTAAACATCGGATATTCAAAGATTTTATAGAATCCTAGTGGTATGAAACATTTTTTATCTTGTGTAAGGTAATAATAATCATGCACAGGTAGAAATTACGCTCTTACGAAAACCACGTTGAACTTTTCTAATCATCATCTATTTTTCATGTTTTTATATTTCTCTATTAGACTATCATTCAGTATTATATTTTAGAATGAATTCGATAATTCCAGTTTTAACATTCCTCTCCATTATTTTAACAATACAGTTTGCTTCAGCCGTCAGTTTTCCCAATCCCCCTCCGATGCCAAATCAAAATGCTTCACCAGAAGAATGGAATTTATTTTGGAAATTATTACACAACTATTATGCCATAATCGCTCGACCAAGGTAAAATACGATTAGATGCATGCAGAAAAAAGTACAAAAAAGTGTTTTAAAAGAAAAAGTAGGCATAGAGCAGTGGTCTGTTTGAAGATAGTAATTTTTGTCTAATCATGGTGGCGCTGAATTAACTCAGCTAGAAGAAAGCCAGAGTTGACGTCGTCTTCGTTTGAATTAGAAAGAATCTCTTTGCTCAAACATGAAACAAAGAGTGGCATGATGCTTGCTTACTCTTGTATAAGGTGGCATCCTAAGACTATCGATTCATTTAAAGTGTTCGTCGCTGATTAATTGCATTTCCGATTTACACCTTGAAAGCTGTTTGGAAATTGGTGGACGTGCGATTATGCGATGCAACGAAGAGCGATCGTAGAAATATAAGTACCGTACCAGCGCAACATGACAAATTAATAATTTTATGAAAGTCATTTAGTATGCATTCTCATCTCAAATTAATTATACTGTTGAGTTCTTATAGCACTTTAATAGATAGGACAGTCTCGATTTAGAAAAGCCAAAAAGAGTCTATTAGAGCTCTCAAATCGTTCATTAAAACACATCCTTGAGATATTACAACAAGATTCGAGATGATGTGGTTAGACCCTCAATTGAAAAGTGAATGATGTTCTTACAAGAAGATTATGCAGAAAAGAAGTATATAATAATGACGCTTTTCAACAGATATCGTAGTTTCACTACACTTAAGCTTTAAGTGTTGTATTACGTTATTTTAAACGTCGTTAGGCTATTAGTGTACTGAGAACATCCTCTAGATAAGTAAGAGCTAGGTAGATCCGTCCCTGTCTCACTGAAAGTTGGATTTGTTGGTCTTCACAGTGCTCACATAGACCTTAGTACAGTGCAGACTGGTAAAGCGGTCAGTCTAAAACTTTTGACATAGGCAAACAATTTTATTCAGTAAATACATTTGTTTAACAAGGAGCTCAGCGAAACAAAGGTGATGAAGTGAAACAGAACCGAGGTACAAAACGTAACGAATGAATTGCGAGCACTAGAATAATAAAGAATTAATGGAATTTCTTTTGTCTTTATAATACAACTTTTTTAGATTAAGTTGTAGTAGTAGTATTAATAGTGTCTGATATGTAGATGATTAATAAACCTTTTCTATACATCGTAAGGAATTAAATCGAATATTATAAAACAGCACATCTAGATTAAAAAGTGTAATTAATTGCTACTCACTTGCAATAACCTACATGTAAGCGTTATTCGATTAATTATCCTTAGTGGGTGCCCCTTACAAACTTTTTTTATTTCTCGAAGTAGTGTAGTTTTCAAAGATCGGATATACTAAACGTTTAACCGGACTCGAACTATAGCTTCGCTATATCCGAGACAGGGTAAAAATAAATGTATGTAGGTAAAATATCCTTTCATCACACTCAATTTTTAGCGTCTTTACATGTTCCTCTGGTCCGATTGGCATTACGTTAGATAGTCCATTCAGCAATTTTCACATGCAAAGAAAATTCATTATATTATAAAAAATCGAGGCAGAATTTACAAAAAAACAAATTATAGAATGATTCCTTTGAGAAACCAATCCGTTTTAAACTTGTTAATAATGGAAGAACGTTCTATATAAATTCAAGAAGTAACACGCATTGTTTAACTTTGCTGAAAGTCATTTTGATTCTCTAAAATGTAGAAAATGAGCATTTTTCAACTTATTTACACAATTTTTTATTATTCCATTAATGATATAGCATAATTAACGATTTTTAGAGTCGATTTTGCATAAATTAGAAAATAAACCAGATTAACAATGTGGAAAATTCCGTGGAGTCTGTCTCATATTTACATCGGCTTTATGCGCTTCAGCAGAAAACTTATTCAAATCGAAGATCCATGTATCGGACTAAAGCATATTATACTAAAAAAATACCGAAACATTGGCATCGTAAGGGATCACACGGACATTTTGCTTTATCGAGCTTAGGAGTAGTTATGTTTCTCAGAGAAAAGCGCTACCAGACCTTTGAATCTTTCTAAAAATTGTACCATTGGATAGAAGCACAAAAATCTACTCGACTACGTGTGTTTAATTTTTCATTTTATTTTGACAATCCAAAAAGGCTAAGTTCTTTCTGGAAATTCTTTATGCGACATTGTTTTTTCTTTAAATATTTTCTTTAAATATTGTCGTAAAATAGTATCTATCTGTGTCCTCTTAAAAAAATTGTTATCAAATGTGCCTCCTTAGTTCATATAAGTAAGTCGCCTCATCTATATATCCCAATCAAAACCTTATTAAAAAAACTACTTACGCAGCACGATCTTTTAACAGAAGTTCACATTGTATTGTCTGTTAAAAAAAATAAGGTATGTGACTGTCTTTTAAATATCTCAAGAACGAAATGTGATAGAGAGTCTGAGTTTTCACCATTCAAAAGAAGAGACTTTGGAGGACATTTTTATGACAGATATTAATTTGAAAATAGTTTTTTACAGTAGGTTTTTGAGGAGATCCTTGGAAAACCAACTCATAGCTTAAGAACAGAAGGTACGCGAATACTATCATTTTCTTATACTCATTTCTGGAAAACCTATTAACAAAAATATGCTTTTTCGATTTTATAATCACGTTTATCGGGCAACATTCATCATATCTTAGGTTTCGAACTCGTTCTGATGTTTTTTGAGCGCATAGTGAATCTTTTAGTATTAAGTGAAGACAGCGTGAAAACCCCGATTTTGATAAAACTCCGTATTCACCAGATTTTGGAATTCTTTTCCCAAAACAAATATTGCCATCAGCTTCAGCGTGGACAATTGCATATGTGCCATCCGATTTCAAGACTACCTGAAGCCACTGGATACTAGTCCTGAAGCTCACCACGCCCGAACCACTGAAAATTAAGATCTCGCTTGGCTGGGCAAAATCGGCTTTGCATACACGATCTAACAGTAGCTCATCCTCTTCGTCTCGTCATTCGACGTCTAGGTCGCCTATATCTTCCTCTACGACCCGGACCGATTCCATTTCATCCGACTTGAATAATTTAAGTTTAAATAACTTAAAACGAATTATTTGTATCGTTATTTGTTGTCTAATGATTTTTTCTTATAAAATCCTATACTACAAACGAAAAGAGAATAAACTATATTTTAACGGACATCCGTTCTTTTCTGAGAGGGTGACAGGTGACAGATATCAAATTAGATACACACATACGTCGAGACGTAGCATTTAAAAGAAGTCTAACTTCGGAAGATATTTTTGATAAAGCTACTTAAAAGAGAGAATGTCATTTATAAACTGTCTTTTCAATGTCTATATCAATGTTTCTCAAAGAAGTCTATAACAAAATCCTTCAGAAAAAAAACTCTTGAAAAACAACATTGCTTTTAATTGCATCTAACCTCTTCAAGGCGAAATATCTATTTGCATGCACTGTAAAAAAAGTGCTTTAAAGTGTGTCGTACTAAAAAAACCTTGCGACAGGACACATTCAATAGTACTTTTGTAGAAGACACATTTCTTGAACGCTATAATGTGTCTCAAATGGAATCTGTCCCGGATATTTTGATGTGTTTTAGCTTCTTTTCATTTACGTTCTCGTATACGTGCTTCAATGAGATAGCACGCCTACTTAAGGGTACCCCCTCTTTTTTGCAGAATTTCATAGTTTTCATTTTGAGTTAAACATAGTCTAATGTAGAGGAAAGTCTGGGCTATAAAATGAGACCATTCCCAGTTCTCCATGACCCTCCTTGAAAAAATTATGAAGTTTTTAAGTTTTTCCTTTAAAGCCGAGAAAATCTCAACTTTCTAGCTTCGTAAATTTTCCTCTCCTTTTCTATTAGTCATAATTTTTTCTTATATATAGGATAATAGAAGAAAATGTGTTCTTCAAGATGAGATGTTTTTCAGAATTTTCCGATGAGTTTTCGTGAAGATATGAGCATTACCGTAAATGTCCTGAAAAACAGAGCCCTGTGTACAATATGTATTTTTCTCACTATGGGTTTTTTCAACAGTCCCTTCAATTGGCACACATTACGACCCGTCGAAAAAATGCTCCGATCGGGCCAAAATTTTACCATAGATACTTCAGACCGTATCTCAGATTGGTTTTTTTTAAAGCGTTTACAACTTTCGACGTGAGAAGGTTTTCAAAATGAAAAACCGGTATCGGATTCTTAATATTTTTCGAATATCTCGAGAAGGAAAGCACATTTTTTGAAAAGAAAAAAGTCGAACCTGAGATAGGATGTGAAGTATCTGTGGTAAAATTTTGAACTCGCTCGGACCATTTTTTCGACGGGTCGTAATGTGTACCAATGAAAATCCATAGAAGAACACATCAGAAAATTCTGGGCAAAAATACATCGATTTCTTTTCAAGGTTTTATCTCTGCTATAAATCTGAACCCGATCCGACATCGGCTTCCACGGTTTCCAAGAGGGTAAAAACGAGGGGATGGTACCCTTAATAAACTCAAAACTTTTACTTAATCCTAGAACGCATAGCTGGGGTCGCCCGCAACCCCAAACATGGAAAATATTGTTCTCATTCCCATCCTGTACATTGCTATAGTGTGCTCTATCCCATTGCTCAACCCATACAGCTTATTCTTGATCAATGACCAAAGCCTGTATACTCTGTGATAGAGAGATGTTATAGATAGAAACACATGTGATATAGACAGAGAGTGATACAAGTAGTATCGAGATGATGAGACGAGACTCATGTGTTTTTCAGAGAGAGAGAGAGAGAGAGATTATATCATAGAACAGAAAAGCCATCTGTGTTTGAAAGTCAGATATATGTCAGATAGCCTATATGTTTGCGTTGATAAAAAGCATAACAGCTGTTCTTTTTACTACGTTATCATCAACAGTTTGATTTTTAAAAAAGATGAAATAATTAGTGTGGTACGCCTTATTATAAGGCAGTTTTCGTGATGCTTCAGGGGTTCTAAAGCAAACTTTTTGCGCTCAATTTGTAGAGAATTGAATGTTGTATCCGATGGCAGGATCGGAGGTCTAGTCAAATGTTATTTAGGTACCGAAAAATTGGCTTTATTTGAAAAGTTTCGGTTTTAGAAACACTATTTTTTCACTTGTTTGACTTATAAAGGCTTCAGTTTCAATACTAAAAATTTAAAAAGCACTTCGTTTTGTTCAGTTTTAGTTAGACTTTCTAATGAAACGTTGCTCGAACAGAACGAATAAAATATGGCAGAGTTATATCTAAAATATTGCAAAGGTCACAGCTATGCGTTCTAGGGTTAAAAAATCGAAAATTATTTCGATATAGTTCATTCAGGATGGAACCTTCGATCGAATCAATGCGCAAGAGAAATGTCTTTGACGATTTAGTGACTTATATATGTATTGCAATAGAAAAAAGAAAAAGTAATCCCACTGACCAGAGAAGGTCCTATAGGGACAATGTGACTCATGTACACGTAGTAAAAAAAAGAAAAAAAGAAAAAGAGAAAGCAAAAAGGACAATGTCATTAGATGAACATTAGACCACCAGACAATTCACGACACACAGCCAGATGAATATCCCATGAGTTGTATATATACATAGAAAAATTAAATCACGTTGAATAAAAAAATAATCACGTTGAACGTACACGTGTACGTATACGTATAGTATACGTACAATACAGAAGAAGAGGAACGAAGAGAACACGTCTGATCTGTATAGTGATAAAAAGATGAATGACGATTTAGTGACTTGACTGCAAGCAGCTTAAACAAATTGTGGATAGAAACTGTATATAAGGCTTGACTTGTGTTGCTACTCTGCTCTCTAAAAGACTACTGTATCCTACAAAACCAAAAAAGGGTATTCAAAGTACCTTTTGAGTCAAGAGCCAAAGAGTATTTTAAAATACAGCTAAGGGTATTTCTAACTGCACAGAACTAAAACAAGAGGGTACCTGCATTTAATCAATAATAGAAACCAATTTTCCGAGATTGAAATACCCTTTTTAGGTTTTATAGGATACCTTATTTTTTTAGAGAGTACTACATGTTTTCTTGAGGTACACTAAAGAAATACTAAACAATGCATATTTTTTTGCCTATAATTTCTCAGAAATAAACCAAAATATACTGGACATTCAATGCGTCCTCGCAGATTTTACATTCGAAATACTGACCGGGTAATGCGGCAAAAATTTGTATCCGATCTATCACCAAAAAATATGCCCGTCTACAAGTGTATAGTGGTTTTTACGGTGTGGTCATTTATGATACTAATTATTTAGCTAATGATATCTTATATGATCTTTGCTTGTTTATGCAGATTTGGAAAACGTACAGTGAAAAATGATGCAGTACCGTTAAAATCGATATCACTCCTGCCTGATCAACTACCATCACCAGATCAATTACTATCCATTATCAATCAGTATACTGATACCAATCAATCTAAACGGAATTCTTCACATGCATTTAATCATATTGATTATAATGGTAAGAGACGAAGGAAAATAAGTTGCAATACTTTTAATCATATTGTATATTTTTTCTCTTAGGTAATGGACGAATCGACTTAAACGAACTTTATCAATTTTTATATCCAGAGCTTTTATCAACAGATCGTTGAAATAAATTGACATAAACTTTTTTGTATCAATGTTTTTGCTCTATTTCGTTTTTTCTTGTTTCAAAAATTGGCATAAACATGCTCGATCACTTTGTATCAAAAGAGATCAGACGGCATTTAAATGCAAAATAATAATAAAACATCTTGTATTTTACAACTTTAGAAATATTATTTTTGCTTGAAAATTGATCAACGAAGTATTTTATTTGAAGAATTTTGTTTAGACATCGGTTCTATATAGATAATGCTAAAAATTAATTGTACACCGCATAGTAGATGAACAGAAACAGAAAAAAGGAATGGATGTATTAATACGATAATATATTCCACTGGAGAATATGTACTACTAATATCATTGATACTCATCCAGAGTATTCGTTACTATAAACGCTTATTAATACAAAATAAGTTTCTTTTTTAATTAAAATATTGAACTTAAAATAGGACATAGAGGTAGCAATTATTAAATAAATAATCTGAACTGTAAGTTTTAGTTAATTTCGAACAGGGGTCCACTTATTAAAAAGTTAATATTTTTCATTAAAATTTTATAGACTAACGAAATCAAATCTAGATTAGATAATTGTTTTCCCTTGTTACATCAAGAAATGATTAGAGTTATCGAGATTTCTAGACTAACAATTTTGATTAAAATGGATATCCTATTCCGTAGAGAATATTTTTATTAAAGGAGAGGAAACACCCCATCACATTCTTTTATGTCTTCTTTTATATTATTCTGGTATACTAACTCCAATAATATTCTATATTCTTGTTTATATGTAAAAAAATTTTCTTTCGAGAAAAAAAACTAGTTTTTAAAAGTGAAAAAAAGTAAGTCCTTTATACAAATTTGAAAGACGCAACAAACAAACAAAAAAAAAAAAGAAAAAAACTAAATTAATGAAAATAATTATTATATAGTCTTGCTCATAATTTTTTTTTTTGTTGTACAAAAAAAAGTAACAAATTGCTTTACACATTTAGAGACATACACTTGAACAAAAGAGAATAAAAGCCAACAAATTCGCGAGCATTCCTAATAATTACACATGTACAAGCTGTTCAGAAAAAGAAAAATATTCTTACATAACTTGTGTTTTATACTATTTTCAGATTTTTTCATTTTTTTGAAAGCTCCATATGCAACAATACTTCAGCTTAAATCCCAAAAAGCGGACGATATCGAGTCACCGGGGCTACTAATATTAATATGTATAAATGATATTAATATATATAGATATATAGATATATATAGGGAAATTATCCAATGTAGAAAATAAAAATAAAAAATGAAAATGATAATACGTCTATTTAATTATCATTATTAACATCAGCAGCTATTAATACTGATGTTGTTTTTTCTCGTAATGGTCGTAATACAATATAACTTAAAATATCTGATAATGACAGAACACCAATTACATGTTCATCTTTATCTACGACCACTAAACGATGAACTTCAGCTTTGACAATTCGTTCTAAAATAACGGCTAATGTTTCTTCTTTATAACATTTGGCAACACCTTCTAAACGTTCTTTACGATAGCTTAATGCTTCACGTATTGTCATGTTCAAATTTGTATAAGTTTTTTCAGCAGCTAAACCCTAGAAAAAATAAAGAAATATAGAGATAAAATTATTTTATATCGTAATCAATTTTGACTCTTCATTTTTTTAAACCAAAAAACATATTTTGATCTAATTACTGTTATACTTACAATAACATCAAATTTTGAATAGATATTCATAATTTTGTTATTTTTATCGACAACAGGTAATGCTGATATACGATATTTGACAAATGTTCCTAAGACATCAATAACAGATGTATCTTCTTGTATCTATTAGAAAAATAAACAAAATAATAACGTTTAATGAAAAGATATATATTAATATTTTGATGCATACAGTTTGAATTGTATCATACGTGCCAACATTCAATTCTTCTAATGTTTTTAACATAAATGAAGGTTGTGGCCAATCATGTATCTATAATGATTAATAATAATTTTAAACTATTAATCTGATAGATTTGTTGATATGTGTTTGACTTACATATAAATATAAAAACCTTAAAACACGTTTGTGTGTCAAAATACATATGACATTATTTGATAATGGATCGATAATAGGCAATCGGTGAACATGATTATCGATTAAAATTTTCACACAATCATATAGACTAAAAATACATAACTAATTTGTATAGAAGAAAAATGAGAAGTTGGAAGCAAAAAGTTACTTACGTATCGGTTGGTCTTATACATAGTAAAGGTTTTTCATATTCCTTTAATACCTCACGCCAGGTATCAATTTTATGTTCTTCTAATTCTTCAATTTTAGCCTATTTAATTAATGAATAAAAGTTGTTCCATACACTATCGCACACAGTAAAAAAAGTGGAGACACTCAACTAGTTTCATATTCTCAAAAAATATTAGAACTGTCAAACAAAGTAGTCAGATAGATTATAACTAATATAGAATTTTGGTTTTAAATGTCTGTCGAACAACTATAGCGAAATAGTAAAACGCTTACATTTGGTTCTTTATAATATTTTTGTAATATTAAAATAAAATCGGTTATTGTTAACATTCCCATGAATGCTTGACGCTTTGTATCCCATAATGGTGCTGCTCTCACACCATTATAAACAAGGGCAAAAAATGCTTTTTTCACCTGAAACAGACAAATATACATAGATATTATGCGTAATTTAGTTGTTTTTCTATGCCACTTACTGCTAGTTGAGTATCAAATACAACTAATTTTGAACTTTTTGGCATAATATCATAGCATGTATGAGTTTTCATAAAATGTACATACACTTCTTCATCGCTCACTACAAAGTATGTTTATTTACATTTAAAGATGAACATTAAAAGATGTAGTTGAAAGAATAAATCACCATCACCGCAACAACAACAACAACAACAACAACAACAAGCAGTAGAAAACTACATACCAGATTCTTCTTCGCCGTCGTCGAGTTCTTTTGTCGGTGATTTCGACTAAACAATAGCGTTTTTTTGGAATGATGATTTTTGTTCAATTACATATATCGTTTTTAAAATATATATAGCTATTGACAATAACGAGGTGTATGTGTTCTGCAATGTTAAGAAATGCCGCTGCTTTTGCACTACACTAATCATAAACAAAACAAATACAAACCAGTGATGAATTTCGAATGGAATACGCTGATGATTGACGATCTGGTAATGTAATAGTGCCTTGTGTCGGTAATGTTGTAAAACGTTTAAAAGTTTTGCCCGTAGGATTTGGACTTTGAGTACCACCTTTGAAATAAAAAATACAGTGTTGCAACGATTAAAATAAAAAAGTGTTACTGATGCAAATTGATGAAATTAACTGATTAATTGTGCTTGTTTCTTACCAGCTCGCTTTGGATAACCGGAATCTTGAAATAGTGACTAAAATAGTAAAAAGAAACACAATGTATAGACATTTAAATCCCAAAAATGTTACGGATTGAAAATCGTTAGATATCGAGCGACATGCATAAGTTAGAAGAAAGCATACATACAAGTTTTATAAAAATAGATGATTATAGTATTTAAGAAATTTAACTAAAATCTTCTTCTAAATCAATCTATTTATTTAATTTGTGATTAACACTTAATAACTCAAACACATCGAATTCTGAAAAGAATAAATTGTTTTACATCAAAGATGAATCTATGGAAGATAAAAGTAAAAACGGAGCGCAATGGAACATGAACTGTATGCTGTCACTATGAATATAACTAGCGGAAGTTGTTATTACAATTTACAGTATACTTTTGTGTAATACCAAGATCTTAGTCACGCTCATAGGTTTTGAAGACACCACGCAGATATTATTGACACCATTCTCAGCTAATGAGTCGTTATGCATATTTTCCAAACAGTAACAGCCTTACATGCCAATAGTATACAACAAATGGAGAGTAGATATAGAGATACTCCACATATTTTTGGTATGCGTCGGATCATATTAGTGTAAAAAATATTGTCAAAAATGCTCAACATAGAATCACGATCATATACAAAAAAACTGATTCATTTTTCATCTTTCTGAAAGGAGAAAACTGATGTTCCTTTCAAAATTTTTAAGAGAAATTAATTGAAATTTGAATGCCATAACCCATAATCTTTGCCCTATTTTAACAAATGCACACGTCTTACAATCTTTCTCTAATGTCACATCTACACACATTAGTCTGTTTTTATTTTACAGAGTGTCCATAATTTGCATTCTACATCAAATATTTTTTCTCTGCTAACAAGTATACGTACAAAATTTTTCTCTTTTTTATTTCTCATACACATTAATGAATAAATGGGCCTTATGACTTGCATATTTACTGAAAGTCATAAAACTGGTTCTTTTCCAATCGATATATTTGAAAGAACGAAGATATTGTTGTTTGATGACATTGCATATATTAAACGGTTGTGGAGGCAATATCTGTTGAATGCATGTGTCTGACTACTTAATACTGTTTCGTAATCTCATCTCTCCTCCAGCGTTTACAGCAGCTGCGAAATCTCTATGAAGAACAAAAAATATACATGTTATATCAGTTTAAATTTCTTCATCGTCGATCAAGAAATCTCAAAACTTTTAATTTTTAAAGATTTATTTTGCTATATAGTCAAGGTGAAAACGGCGACGTTTTTCTTCCTTAGCATCGAAGAGCATTGCTCAGTATCGGATGCTGAGCATCTCAGCTTCGAAAAGCATTTCAGGGACTCTGAAAAGTTCCCAGAGCCGCCTTTTCCCCCTTGTATATAGTACTCAAACAGTTAACTTTTCTTAATTGTTATATTTTTTCCATCACCAGCAGGAAAATGTTAAACATAGATTGTAATAACGAAAAATAGTCAAAACAAAAACATTTCGAAAAATGCAGTATGCATTCATTATTCATTCACATGCAGAAGCCCACACAATAAAGCACTAGTTTAAAGCATGATAGAAGAAGAATTGCGTTACATCCCAACACGTGTACACACGAAATACAACCACAAGAAAAGATATTTGTCGATTTTTTCAAAATGAACTATACTTACTCTTAAACTCGAAGGTGCTTGTGATTTATCTGATTTATTCAATGATCGTTCTAACGTTTGCATCCTTAAATCACCAGGTTTCATACGTTTGTGATACGTAATCAATGAACCCCTATCACCTGCTGCCAAACTCATATAGTACTGCGGATCAGATGTTGCTACTAATTTATCTTCATTCTTAATGTTGTTTAATTCGCTGCTACTCGCTGTTTTACCCGTATCTACGAGTGAACTTGTTGAAACATTTGTATCAGACGGTGTTAATGTTGAGATTATTTCATCATCATCTTTTTGATCATTTACAGTCATAAAGTTCGATGTTTGTTGTCGTTCATTTCCTCGACGACTTTTTTTTGTAAATAAACGTGAAAATAATGATTTATCTGGCACAGATTGTGGATCAGATTTTGAACGCGATCGTACACGTCTCATTAAAAAATGTTTTGATAGCGAAGTGCGATTTGAATTCACTGTATCATTTTTTGGTAGTATGATAGTAGGCACAGGCGTATTGATCAGGGAACTAGCTGGTTTCGTAGCAGCATGAGAAGATAGTGTTGCAACAACTGTTCCTTGTCCGCCGATTTCACTAGCAGCTGATGCACTACCAACGTTTTCACCACCATCACGATTAGTTTTACCATTATTTCGAGATACTGGTAATCGTACACGTTTTGATTCTTTTGGTGAGCGAGTCACACCATTTGTTGCTGTTATGCCATCTGTCAAAAGATTATCGTTTCGTTCTCCATCCGCAAGTCTACTATCACCACCGCGTCCAGGACCAGGACCACTACCACTTTCATTCTAAATGAATTTCGTTCAAGCGTTATACAGATCGAAAAGTTTTTTTTAGACTAATTTAACTTTCTATAGGCAGATATACACAACTAACAAGTGAGAGAGACTCAATCCAAGACATAAATTAAGATATAAAATCACAAATAGTTCGCACATTGGAAGATAACAGCATAATATCCGCTTTGAAAAGCAGGAAATCTGTTGAAACAATGACAATTACTATTATAACCATAATTTCAACTATAAAACCTGGTAAAAAGATTTTTCTTCACACTCTAAAAAAGTTGATCCCACTATATATTTCATTTCAACTTACCGATCCGTTCGTTAAAGAAGCGTTATTCTCATTCGGTTTCTTCACCAGTTTAGGTGAATGATGATTATGATTGGTATGATGATGATCATCATGCTCATGATCGTGTTCGTGAATGGCTTCGAGAAAGGAAAAAGTCGTTGTCATTTCAAATGTCTGATTTTAACCCGTTTACTATTACTGCTGCTGGTATTGGAACAAAAAAAATTCGTCAAGTCAATAATAATAATAATAATAATAATAACTACAGTGGTCTGTTAGACTGTCGATATATTTTTTTTAATATATAGTATATTTTCTTATATTTGGTATCTCTCATATATCTATAAAAGTCGGGGAAAAAAAAAAAAGAAACACTGTTTATTCGAGAGAAAATTGATGACGCATTAGGTTAGTCTCGCGTTCTTTCTTTTTCGACATGCGGTTGTTTAACAAAAACATGTACAGATACGATATATACAGAGAAGAAAGAAAATCAAATATTACAGAGCCAATTTTATGTTCATGTTCAATATATATTCGTCCGCGAGATAGCTATCTCTATTTATTATAACTATGATGAATGAAAATAAAAACGTGAATGAAAAAATAAAAACACGTCACGGTGTAGAGAAAAGAAAAAAAATGGTTGTAGATGAACATCATCATACACAAGAGAGCAAAAAAAGAAATTTAGTCATGAAGCATGCGCTCTTTCTCTGTCTCTCTCAAGGCTTGTGTATGCAAGCATACGCTTCTGTACAGCAGAAAGAAAAGAAAAGAATACAACGTCGATGTCGTTCTTTCTCTCGTACATATTCTATACTTCTGTTCTGTTTTATTTTAGAAAACGACCCATATATATGTTTTGAATAGGATGTGTATAATTTGGCAAAGGATAAAAGAGGGAAAAAGAAAACTTTTTTTCTTTTTTTTTACATGACAATAGCATATTTTTTGTAATAATATACTTATTTGTATGCATGTCTTCAGGAATAAGGAAAAAAAGAATAGGCAGAAACTCGAAGTTCCCAAGAATTTGATGGATGAACTAACTACAACGCAATAACTGTCTTTCGTTCATATCTGTCTTTGATTTCTCTCTATATACACTTTCCGTAATTTTTCGAGTGTCTGATGCAATTACAAGAATAAGAATTGAAAAAAATTTTTTTTTTATTCAAAAAAATAATATATCTATAACTAAAGCAGAACACGAGTCCTCTATCAGTAACAGAAAAGAAATGCGCATGTGAGCGATATATTTTCTTTATTTAGTACTACCGCCCTCAGTAACGAACTTTTTTTTATTATTCCGGCAAGAAAAACAGAACAAAATTATACTGGCACAGAGTAGACAATTGCTTTTTATATTATAATAAAAGAAAAAACAGAACTTCTATTACTTACTTTAGTCACTTTAGTCATGTTCTGTGTGAATGTCAAAATTTTTAAAGGCACACAAAAATTGTTCTATACTCCTTTTTGAAAATAACTATAAAAATTATCGATCAACGTCAGGGTTAATTATAGAAAGACTAATTGTTGTAAAGATTGAGAAATGATTGTTATGCATAGAGATTTCTAGAATATACACGATAATGAAACTTAACCAAGCGGAAAAAAAAGAAATAAGAGAAAAGAGGATTGAGTCATGAAAAAATGATTGGATAAAATAAGACCCCTTTTATTTTCTAATCTATAAAAATCTAAGTCTAGATATTATATGATGATTATTGCGAATCTGAACTCAACGAGTACGAGTTCAGATACGGGATCAAAGATTGAGAAATGGAGGTAGATTTTTTCATCAAATTCTTTCACAAAATGTTTATATAATATCTACTCATAAGTAAAACTATCAATAAAAAGAATGTCTTTTAAATCTATTTAAATTACTGTTAATGATTAAAACAAAAATAATAAGAGATAAATATTAATTTCCTTAATATTCATCATTAGACGTCTCTTATTAAAATCATGACTGTTTATCATGACAAGGTTTATTATTTTTTTCGTTATATTCTATTGAATGTTACCTTATGTGTTTTAAAACGCAGTAAGCATCACATGACGTGTACATCGCAGAGTTTTATATGGACCTGTGGAGACTTTAATATTGTTTTAGTAAAGTCTATACAAGTTCATATGGAGATCTAATACATAGAAGACACTAATTACTAAGAGAATTTTGGTCAAATTTAGAACAAAGAATAGTCAGTCTCACAAGATTCTAATGGTATGCTGCATAATAAATGAAAGAGAATTTAAAATTTAATATTTTACCATTAGAAAATAGTCAATCACTTACAACTCTAGTAGCTGGAGACCGAAAAAAGAGAATTAAAAAACGCGAGACTCTGTTTATCGTGTTTGACGTGTAATAAGAATAAATGCAAATATTTAACTCTCAAATTTAAGCTAAGTGACACAAATACGATACTTTTTCATTTGACAAACGAATTTTCTCTTCCATCATGTTCATTAATTTTCTGTTTGGAATGAAAAAAAAAATACAATTTGCGCCTGTATTCTCATGTTTGCTCAGAGACTTTTTCGTATCTTTTGATAATAAACTGAAGTGTTTTTTTTTCATAAATCTATTAAGCTCTTTAATAAAATAAACACTATAATCTTCGAATGCTTTGTTTTCAATACGACTTACCAAGCAAAATTTATTATAATCTTAGTACAAGAAAAATCACCGACTCTTCGGGAAATTAGAGGATGTTAAAATTTTAAATGAAAGTTTTTCCTTTTACATTTTCTTTTGTGTATAGCAGCTATAGCCATCAGATATACGATCATTCGAGATACTTATGTTACATAGTTTTTGCAATCTGCGAATCTATAAAAATTTTAGTTTGCTTTAAACCAAGGTAGCCTAATTTGGCATACACTGGTATTGCCCATTGCAATCTTGTATTTTCTTTACAAAGAGCTTCTTGTAACACAAACCAATTTTCTAGAAATTTTTTAACGACTGGATTTTGTAGAGCAAACATTTCTCTACAAAATCAAGTATGACGGTACTTTTCATCTTGATTTAGTAATTAGATAAAAAAATGTTTACTAAACGACCCACGACCGGCACTGCTAGCGATACTGATTTATGACTCTTTGTCAAAAAGCAATTGATTCGGAACAAAGAAAAGAGATGAAGAATTCTGCAGTGTTTTATTTTGTAGAAAAATATTCGTTCTACAAACTCAGTTGTCAAAAAACTTTTATATGTTGTACTCTCGGTATAATAAATGTAATATTGGTAAATACCGATGCATGCCTATATCTAATCAAATACAATCTCTATAAATTTCTTAGAAATAGATCACAGGAACATCATTATCAATGATGATCATGAAGCTCTATTGTCCAAACACCATTTAATTCAAAAACTTCAAAAGAAGTTGCAATCTGTAAAAATACTTTTCTACCACTCATGGAATCGTTTTTAGGCATAAATTGAAGCGGACCGATTACCAACTTTATGTGGTCCCCTCCTTTCTTCTTTGTTACATCGCGATTTCAAAAATTTTGAAATCGCGACTGAAATTCAACTGTTTTGATCGAGGTCTCAAAGACCAAAATTTTAAGATTTTTTTATTTTTGTGTGCAAAATTCCTCCCTTTTTTCAAATTGCATAAGAATAGTTTTTTGTTAGTTTTTCTCTCCATCCGAGATCAGCACCGATACACTGAATTTTTCTTCACGGGGCACATAATTTTATCTTACAGATTCCATCTGTGACTGAACTAGTGCTATTTAGGTTAAGAGTGAGCTGTTTGTAACTTAGTTTACAACCCAATCTTACAACGTAGGAGAGCCTCAATCTACTTCTAACTTAATCTACAAATTACGTTTAATCTGCGCAGTTCTAACGATCATGTATGAGGCTCCTCCTTGAACAGCTAACTATATGGTTTACAGTTGGCAACGATGAGGACATTAGGCAAAAAGTCGAAAATGAGTTTTTCTAGGGTCAAAAAAATTAACCTAGAAACACAGGAACATGCGGTAGAATTTCTTTTCATGAAAGCGAACGAAGTTATCATCAAAAACGATACAGATTGTGAATCTTTACCTTTTTTGCTATCGCTAAGTTAAAAGTTCTATCATTTTGGATCTGTAACCTTCGAGAAAAAAATTCAGTTTTCGAACTGAATGAAAATCATTTTTCTTACAGCTGTTTTTAGTATAATGAGTTTTTCCATCTTCAATCTGATTAAAAAATACATCAGAATGTCTGTCTCTGTGCACTGTAACTATAATGTATGCGCACAAATACACAACTTTTCCTGGCTATAGGTTTTTCAAGTAAAATCTACTTTCTCTCTCTAGCAGCATTTCTGTGAAAAGGTAATTTTATTCTCACATCGAAATAAATAAAATTAAAAGGTTAAAAAAGAAGAAAATAACAAAAAGAAGAATTAAAAAGAGATTGAAAAATGGAAAGATGGCTGCTTTGTTCTCTCTACAAAAATGTTTTCAATACCTCATCAGCTGGACAGAGAAAAAAAATCTACACTTAAGGGGCAATAAGTGACAATAGCGTTCCTGATACCGCATCATCCGATGTATTGCCAGATCGCAAACGTACACACATAAATGCTGAAGGTCCATTAGGACCTCAACCACCTACCGTTACCGAACTCCCATTAGAAGCTCAGACACGAGTCGTGTCTTGCTTCAAGACCTGATAAGAGCTCAAGTTACAGCCCTGATATACGCGATTCCTTAGTCGAAGTCAACAATTACTCTTATATTCCTGCTTTCGATAATAATGATTTGAATAGGGGAGAGATGGACGATATGCTATCGAATACCATCCTCGAAGCATCAGCACAATGGATGCTAACATCGAAGATTAGTAAGTCGGTTAAGAAATTGAAGAATAAATCGACAAAAAAACTGGGAAAAAATGCTCCACCAACAACATCTCATCTATACCCGCATCGCAGTTTCGTCGATCATCATCACGCAGTAAATCAAGTCGATCTCATTCTCATTCCCGCTCTTCAACCAGAATGCGTTTTAATCTATCTAACCAATCGAGTCTTTCTCATATGCCAAGAGTAGAAAATACTCGCTTACCACAGGAACTATCGCAAAATACACCATATCGATACAATCCTCCACTATTAATGTCGATCGATCCTGCATCTGTACCTCCATTTTTTTTTCAACAACAAATACGAAAACAATGTGAAGAAAGTCAAAAACAGAAACGTGAACGCCAGCGAGCAGTTCAACCAATCCACATACCTCAAGCAACCAAATCAACCAATGCAATCACAATAGTTAACTCCAAACCACAGTCTAAACCTTTGTCATTACCAACAACAACTGTTGATCTTATTCCAGTTCCAACCGTAGCGGTGGTATTATCAGACTCCACGGTGTCTTGAATACAGCAAAATGAGCTACAATCACCACATGCTACGATTAAATTGTACTCGTAATCGGGAGCGACCATTGACAAATTGCTCAAATATGTGTATTCAAAAGATGGTACACAGTTCCTATCCGCTGAAAGACAAGTACTACTTATTATCGGTACGAACCACGTGTCAGTTAAATATCCTGATGACATGATTAAATCAATAACAATGATGTATAATAATATTCGATATCGTTTTCCTCAAATTCAGAAAGTTTTTACTCATAAAATCTTCCCGCATAAATAAACACCCTCACCCTATGCCATAAAATCACAAAGTGACCGTTACAACGAACTACTCGATGAACTATCGCTAACAATACCAATTATTGTCGTGAAAACTGATATATCGGAAAACGATTTATTTGATAAACTACATCTAACCGATCTAGCAGGTAAAAACAAATTACTGTCAACAATTAAAACTGTTTTTGCACCCTCTTTTCAAGCTTGTAAATTTTTTGTTGCCTCTCTTGTCTCTCTTCAAACATTTTAGCCCCATTTGTTGCTGAAGCAACGGATCAGGACCAATCAAATTGTTGTGCTGAAAATAAACCTCTCCCACCATCGTACATTAATGTTCAGTTTTGTTACCACTCGTATACTGCATGCACAAACAATTATGCATCTTCCTAGAGCATTCTTCTCTTATCTATTCACTTTATTAACCGATGTGAATCGCATTCCCTTTTATTTTCTTTCTCTGTCCAACTGATGAAGTATTGAAAACATTTTTGTAGAGAGAACAACCCAGCCATCTTTCCATTTTTCAATCTCTTTTTAATTCTTCTTTTTGTTATTTTCTTCTTTTTTAACCTTTTAATTTTTTATTTATTTCGATGTGAGAATAAAATAAAGTATTTTAATCTAATTATCATTCTGACGTAACCAAAATAGAATTTCAGTCAATAAGTGACAATAGCATGAACTTATTGTCAACTGATACACCGTAATCAACGTTAATAGGGTAGAAATGCGGAAAAACACGATAACTCGTCTAGGTGAACAAAAGACGTATAAAAAACGCGTCCATTTTTCGCACCGAATACCTGTATTAGCTCAAAATGAGTCTAACAAAGTGTCATTTTTGAATGGGTGGATGGACTGGTGTAGATGCTTTGTCAAACGTTTTCTTTTGTCCATCTGAGCGAACAACAAAGGTGACAATCATGGAAGTAAGTAACATAAAGTTATCCTATTTACCTGTGAAATCAAGAGACGTGTAACTACTTCAGATGTCACACTATTCGGTCTAGAGAAATTTTTTGTTGTTTTATTAGATGTGTTTGTTTCTGTATGAATGAAAAGTTGAAAACTGCAAACTAGGTGGATCCGCAAAAAGAGTGAAAGATAAACTTGTTTCAAATGAGTTATTTTTGACCAAGTTTACGTTTTCTGAGTCCACGCACGTTTTCGGTTTCTAACGTATTATAGTTAGCTACGATATTTTCACCAATCATTATGTTAACTAAACGCTAATTTACGCTGTATAATTCTCTGTTTATTTCACATTTTCACTCCAATAAAGACCTTTTTTTTGCTCAGAGACCGTATTACTACTTGTACTTTTATCAAACTATAAAAGTCATAATTAACGCTGATTCTCTTCAAGGTCGAACTGTGTTTTATCAATATCTATTTATTTACATACTCACACAAACACGCACACATACTTCCAGATGTTATATCATACAAAGAAAACATATAGCTTAGACAAATATAACTACGCTAGCTGATAAAGCTGAGTAAAAAAATACAATATCAGATAGCACTTTTATTTTCAATTTTTAAAATGCTGTACCTCATATATTGTGTCCAATGGATCTTTGTCTTCTGGTGTACTATAACGTCTTGTACGTTTAACAAATGTTAATGGAATTTGAAGATTATATGTGTAATCAGAAGAAAATGAGGTAGTTCTTCTTTCATAAGCCATTCTACTTTTTCTTCTCTACAATGTGTGATTGATAATAATAATTATTTTTATTATGTGGATAATTTTCTTTTCTGAATGCAGCTGCTGTTTCAACGGAAAAAATACGATATTTTTTCTCAAGTTTTTTTTCTCACTCTATTATTTTTCGTTTAACGCAATACACAAGACCATTATGCATCAAATTAAATATGAATCTACGGATAAATTTCTATTTTTTTTTTTTTGAAATAATAATAATGATCGTGTGTTTTCATGAGACAGTTACAATGTCATTTTTAGAATAGATAAATAAGTCAACGTTTTTACAAGTTACTATTGTCTATATTAAAAATAGCATCATAATGTACCATTTTTCCGTTTTAAAACGACAAAAAAAAAATATGAAGGAAGAAAAAGAAGGATGAATAAAAAATTTTCTTTCTTCGTTTTATCTGGATGATAAAACGGAAAACAGTATATTTCACATTGCAATATACTTAACTATCATTTGTGAGATTTATAATATAAGAAAAGAGATTTGTCAATTTTTCCAATAAATCATATAAAAAAAAACAGAAAAGAAAAAGAATATATCTCATAACTGTACTGTTGGTTATGTGTTGCTCATTTTATCAAGTGCGTAAATGATCTTCGATAGATTTCTCCCTTGGTTATTGACTCATACAGACAGATGAAGTTCAAGAACTAACTGTTTATACCCAAATGTATTGTCGGGAAAAAAGAAGAATGGACTCGAATGTTTATACGTTTGACAGAAAAGTGGTAGAGACTTACGGTCTTCACCAGTTAGAAACCAAGCTCTGATCGCATCTTGTCATCACGGACGTCATTTTGAAAATCTTCTTTCAAAGAAGACTTTCCATAGGATCTTTAAAAAACCAGGTTACTATAATAAACTTATAATAAAAATATTTTGGTTTTTTCCATGAGTAAGTAGTCTAAAGTGCCCTCTTCGAAACTGGAGTCAAGCGAGAACTTGATTTTCCGCGGTTTGGAGAGTCCTAGAACTGATATTCGATGACCTGGAATGGCCTTGAGATCGCATGGGATATACATAATCGACCATGCTGAACCTCGTGCCAATGTTTATTTTGCGGAAAAAATCCAGAAATCTGGTGAAAACTGAGTTTTACAAAAATTAGGGTTTCAAGGTTGTTTTCGCCTAATAGTAAAAAATTTACAATTCACTCAAAAAACACCAAGACGAGCTCAAAACTTTAGTCTATGGCTAAATTCGTCTGATAAACGTGATTGTATCATCGAAAAAGTAGAAAACCATATTTTTGCTCAAAAGTTTTCCAGAAATCCTTTGTAAAACTATCGACTTTTGTAAACTTCTTTTCTAGGTTTCTTATAACTACGACATAGAATAGCATAAGTACTCTACATTCTGAAGTTCTTCCACTTTTCTATCAAACGTTATTCAAAAAACATTCGAGTCCATTCTTTTTTTTCCCAACAATAGATTAATGAATTAATACAAACCCCTAGATTTCTTTTTGCTTATAAAAAAGCAAAAAGCAAAAACCTGAGGGCAAATATAAGAAATCTAGTATTTTTTCGTTTCCGTTGTATAATATATGTCATGTCAAGTGTTTTTGAGTCTAGAGGTATGTAGATGTTTGTTTATTTAAGCGAAGGAGAGAAACAGCATGACTGTTCTAGTTTTCACTTTGAATCTGCTTGTTTTAAATCTAAATATCCAACATTCTCTCTTTTCTGTCTATCCTTCATTCAACTACTTTTACGACTAAATTTTAAACTTTTGAAAGTAGTTCATACCTCGATGTATCATGATCTATAAAGCATGTCTACTAGCAAGACAAAACACAATGTAATTGAAGTATATTGCCAAATCTTTCTAATTTTATTAGCATAGACAATATATCACAACAATATTATGTCGCATTACTTGGGTTTAAAACTACCTGAGTTATAACTAGTTGGAGTTGAAATTAGTTATAACTAATTTAACTTTTACTCAAAATTTTGCAATAGTTATAACAATGAACCACAATTATAACTATCAACTCGCGTTGATTGATATAACTGCAGTTGAAAGAGTTATAACTATTTCAACTTTAGTTATAACTGTGCCATAATACAAACTGAAATGAGCTTTCATAATTTTATTTTGGGTTGGTAGTCGTTACTAAAACTGATATTCGATTTCGGTGGTATTGTAAAATACTTCATTATATTTTACTGAAAGTCCCAGCAACGTCGCTGCAGTTATTTGTAGTGAGTTATTTTGTAGACAGTCTTTGCTTGTATATAATATCCAGGTCGACGAACGCAACTAACTCGCAGCACAATCGCGATGTCGTGCTAGCGATCGCTATTATCTAGCGCTTGTCGCGGAGAGATCGCTATAAAGTCGCGTTGTCGTGGCGCGATCTCGGTAAAATCGTATTTTCATTGTATGTTTTTAAAAACGTATCTTGTGAGACTCGCAAAGTGAATTAAAACTCGCGGCGCGATCGCTGTGCCCTCGCGATAGGACTCGATTCTTAAGAATTCATATAGTTTTTCTCCACAGAACGCAAAAGAATCCTTTTTCTCTTATTTCAAAGTGAGAATATATTTCTTATACAAATAGATAGTCCACATGCTGCGAAAAATAGCGATTTTCTTTTCTTTTCTTTTTTCTTTTCTTATTCACGTTATAAGATTCACGTTATAAGACCTATTGACGTTCCTTACTCATTGTCACAAAGTTGAAATCGTTTTGTTTAACTATTTTGAATACCAAAACAGGGTGCTCTTTTTCACAAAATATGCGAAATCTAGGGACTTCTACTATGTACACCTTCGTTAAATATATCAACTTCGCAAGGTCTAAAAATAAAAATGCAGTATAGTGAGAAAAGCATCAAAAGTTGATGTCATCGCAATCGTGAGTATCCTCAGTGTAAGACCGCTTTGTCGTTGGTGACTTTCAGGATGTAGCGAGTATCAGTTCGGTCCTGTTTGACGCACAGAGGATTGGGGCTAAGCCATTCCGCCTCATTCACAGGATGCTAGGTTGGCTC